CTGGGGATGTGCCTGCAACCAAGGTACATGCCCTTGACTGGAATCGAACCTGGGACCCTTGAGTCCGCAGGCCGACGCTCTATCCACTGAGCCAAACCAGTTAGGGCTGGTGTAGTTTTTATTGGAGAAACTTATCTTGCAGAAATGTGTACTAGAGGGAAAGCTTGGTTTTCATTTTTTAAAAAAATCTTATTCCTTAACATTTAAAAATACTTAAATATATCACACCTTAAGGGGGCAAACAGAGGGAGGCTGGCTTTGTTGAACAAAAACAGGACGGTCTGTGAAGCTGGGGGAAAAATCAAATGCGGCACAAATCACAAGGAGGCCTCCTTTATGGAGGCGACCCGGACAACAGCAGACAACCTGGTCGCTTTAAAACGAGCCCAGATGTAGCGGTAGGAAGGTTCTGCTTTGAGGACGCAGGCTTTGTGGAGAGGCAGCGGGAAGATAAATCCTCCTGACGTGATAGGTTTAGAGCTTTTTTTGGAGAAGTTAGAGCGCAGGATGGAAGGAGGAAGTCAGTCCACGTGTGGAAGGGGAGAAAGTAGCCCAGCAGCACCCCAGGGGGGCCTTGACCCTGCCCTGCCCCGGGCCGGAAGCTCTGCAGGAGAGGCTGAGAGAGCTACTGCGCTGTCCCTGTGGCTGTGGCAGGTCAGAGCCCGCAGGCCCAGGTGCTGCCGCGGGGCCTCCTGCAGTGCAATCCCCACTCAGTGCGCTGCATTCAGGGCTGTGCAGCCGATAATGTCGTGTTTTCCTTTCTGCGAGATGGAGGAACTGGAGCACGCCGTCTTGCACGGCTTGTGTCCCTCTGGAATCTTACCAATCTGTCAGGGATGACAGTTGTTCCTAATTCCCCTACACATCCTGTTGCCAGTCAGCACCTGAGCCGGACCCAGGAAGGGCCTGAACCTGCTTGACAACTCAGGTGCTGGTGCCCATAAGGAAGGTGATGGTCACTGGGGCGCCTATAAAGATGAGAGGCTGCAAGGCACAGCCATTGGTGCATCCAGCCAGCATCCAGGTTCCCCCCTGTGTTCCAGACACTGCACCAGGCCCCGGGAATGCAGAACAGGAGGAGACAGGGGCTGCCCAGAGGAGCCAACCAGTCCAAGGGGAGGTGCCCCTGGGCCTGCGCTGGGCCTCTGGCCACACGTGTGGAGGCAGGGCCAGCACCAGCCCCGGAGGCTCAGAGCTGCGTCTCCTTTCTGAGCCGGACAGGCGTGGAGGAGCCGTCCCTTGACGGTCTGGCACAGGGTGGCCTTTAAAACAAGCCAAGCAGATGTCCCCCTTTCGGGGAGCCCCTGGCCCATGCGGTTGAGTCAGCCACGTCTTTACGGACAGAAATGCTCAGTAGGGAGGAAATGGTGAGGCTCTGGACGTGGAGGGAGTCCCTCAGAGGGGCCTTCGTCTCCTAGGGGCACCCCCATATTTCCATTTGGGAGAAAAAGACTCCAGCAGTAAGGGCCTAGAACGACGCGCGTCTGGAGTGATCTCAGGCTTTTTCCATCGCGCCTGATGGGGCACAAGGAGAGATTTGTTCCTTTTATTTATTTATTTCCCATTTTAAAGGATTTTCCTTGATCCCTCCCACCCCCTCTCCCGGCCACTCCGATTTGGGTTTTCCATCTGACTCATAATTCCTTCTGAAAGTGGAGTGGAATTCATAAA